GCGATATTTCCACATACAGCCAAATGCACGCATATCGGATAATCGAGATGTGGCGAAGGTATCGACGGATGTCACTGAACTGCACCAAGGACAAGTCAACGCTTCAGTTGCTTACTCGTTCGTATCATTGCAGGTTCTAAACAGGAAGGGAAGCCCGGGCACGCCGTTCGAATCCTGATGGTGCGTTGTTCATGCTCGCACTCGTTAAACACCTTATGCATTAAACCGTGATGCTGCAAGCATGAAATCATGGGCAACGGCTTCTTCTTGCCAAGCCTATTGTGTGATTCATTGGCTTAAATCCATCCCCCGGATGCCAGTCCTGCAACCGAAGTAGCAACGTACCTTCGCCACCAGACACCTGTTTTCTCTGCTGGTCTCTCTTGAACGGTAGGCTTCCATTGCCGCTTTCTTGGCATTGAACCGAAGGTGCGGAAGCGAGAGGGTCTGCAGCGAAGGAAGCGCGCTGTGACACAGAGGTTTTGTAGGAAACACTTAATACTGGCAGTGATGGCATCGCGTCTCTCTGTTGCCGATTAGTCACCATCTATTTGGGGTCGACGCACAGGTATGAGCTCGGGGCGCAAAATCAGCGAGAACCAATATCTCTAGTGTATAACTGCCAAAGTTTGGAAACTGACAGCAGCCGGCAGGACAAGGCATGTTACTCAAGATACCTGGGGAATGGAGTGGTCGACAGTTCCACATCGCGTTGGAGTAGGTTCCATGGTGACGAGGCGGTCGTGGTGCAGTTTCATGCAGTGAAAGTGCCATCTGTAAGTGGGCGCACCAGCCATCAATAGCCATTTGCATCAAAGTTAGCTGTTGAAACTTGGGTCCCCGCTTCCCCTGAGCCATTGTGCGAATGTTTCCCGGACAGAAGCTCTATGCATTACAAATGTTGCGCAGAGAAACAACCCTCATCTTAGTGCTTGTACCTGAACACTAATCAAGCAAACGCTCCGGGTAGCATGTTATGCTCTCTTTCCCATTTTCAAGTGCATGTGCCGCGCGAGTGATTTGCCCATTGCAACAGGGATATCTAGTTGGCTTAGCATCCTTTTGTGTTGCGCATACTGCCGAAATTTTGTGTTGGCCACCCGTGGCTGTATGCTCTGTGATCAACACCATAAGCCTGAACGGGAGCCAATGGGGGCCACACAGTCACGACATCCGGCTGCGCTGGCTTTGCAAATGGTCTTCCCCACCGCCACCCCCACCCCCACCCCGCCCCACCCACCCTCCCCACACCAGCATTTGGGTACTCGTCGAAAACCCAATGGAAGTGTCACAGATTCTGCGTGTTCTTTGAATATGACATGAATTTCATGTCGACAGCTCGCCATTTGTCAGTACAGGCCCTGGACTGACAAAATATGTACAGTCTCTGTACAGCGGAGGCTCTGTATTATAGGGGATGCGAGGCGTGTCCGCAACTGTGATAGCAGCCCCTGTTCCCATATGCATAGATTCCATCTAGAATGGCAAGCTCACGGCACATCGGACCAAGGTTCTCCAGTTTTTCCTTCTCGTCTGTTCTGTCTCCCCAAAGCTTTCTGTGTGTTGGCTAACCTGTGCAACCATTCCCATTGCAAACGCCCAGAACCGACAATCACTACAAATGTCCAAACAGAAGACACCAGGTTTGCGGTCTGAAGAGAGGCAATGGACAGAAGTGCAGGCCTTGCGCAGGGAGGCAATGTACACGGTCACTGCGCCTCACTGACGCGAGCTTGCCTCTGCAACGATACGGCCCCGTGTTTCTGCTTTCATCAGGACCATTTTCAGCCCAGAAGCCACCTCGTGGACGGGTTGACCAATTGACTCTGACGTACTGTGTGCGAGCAAGTGGGGAACTTAATCCCCAAAACGCCACCACCATTCGTTGCAACCTTTAAAGAGCAGCACCATCACCGAACTATTCTGCAGCACCTCGCACTGGAGTACATCCAGATGCTGTCATCCCGGCAGCCGCGAGGCGCTGGCACCTCCAGAATTAACGCATTTCAGAATCCCGACGACCGAACAGGACGCTGTGAAAAGGCGCCCGATGCGATATCCAGAACACCCCTCGGCACATCCATCCGTTCGTGTGCCTGTCCCCAGCGCAGTGGCCTGGTTCCAACAGAGGTGCCAATCGCGGCGCGGCCCCACTCCTTCGAGAGACCCCACCTTTCTGTTGTGATGCGATTGGAGGACGGCTGGGCCCGCCGACCCCTGTCAGCCATGCGTTTGGCGCCCCCAACTCCTCCGCTCACCCACCGGAACAGCTCGGTGCCGCCTGGGCAGCTGCCTTGGCGCTTTGGCCGCGAGCCATTGGCCTGGGCGGACGGAGCATAGACGTTACAATCGGGGCGGCGAAGGCGGGCGGTTGACACCAAACGAGTAAACCGGTTTCGGGTACTGTCTCCGAATGCATTTAGCATCTGAAGATTTGCGGCGATGGATCGGAAGGGGCCACGAAGAGGACTTCACTGCCCGGGCCGCGGCACCTGATTTGCGGCGAGCAATTCTCTTCGATGGATGCATGGCCGTCATCGTTTTGCAGCCGCGAGCGCTGCGCATGTTATGTGTTGGTGAATGTGTGAGGCAATTTTTGCCTGCATAACTTTCTCATTGCAAATTTTGCAATATGCAGTCGTAATGCAAATTTCTGATGTTGTCTGTCTTGCAAAATACTGCAGATGGGGTTCAGCGAGTCGAATGTGTGGCATTTTTCTCGCATGTTGTAATATTCAGGCCTGTATATCGTTCAAGGCCTGGCTGCAGAACGAAGCAGGAGAAGAGGCAAGCTCGGAATCTTCTGCACTGTTTAAGTTCTCCAACAGCTGGCAGAATTGAATCGGCTGCATTCGCGACGATCTAGAGCACGGGGCAACCCAGTGACAGCCAATGAATGCATTCCTGTGCATAGAAATACTGGGTTGGAAGACATAGCAGTCGAGGCGGCGCTGGCAGAATATAAAATGAGCATTTTACCAAACAACTATTGTAAACGCCGATTCTTGCATCGCCTTGTTGGTGCCTGCTGCGCGCATACCAATCGGTTTGTCTTGCTGCGCATTTGTATGTTATGAAAGTGCTTTGAGATTGCCATGGAGCACCTCCAACTTTCGTTGTCAAGGGACAACCCTCCATGTCCATCCAATGAATGTACGCCCAAATGCGGCACTGCACAATTACATATCTCCTTCAAGTCACGGCTATTGGCCTTGCTACTCTGACAGAACCTTTCCATAGCTGTCAGACCAGACCTGCCGCGTTTCCTCGCGAGCATTCGCGCGCACTTTCTTCGAAAACACGGCAGCGCCATTGCCACATTGCTACATGAAACAATATAAACAGCAATTGCTCGTTCCAGACTTTAACGATGTGTCGCCATGCGGAATCGCGATCAGGAAAAGTTTCCTAAACAATTGGCTGTATATTATGTGCCCACCATGGCCTGAAGGACGAAAGGGCTTTGCTTGTCATGTCATCTGGATAATTATCCAATTTATAAAGTGCAGCTCATAGGATGCACGCATACAACATTGCGAACACCACGGCATGGCTAACAGCTTGTCATCGTCCTCTTCCTATGAAGCATAAAACTTGCAGGATGGACCGGCTTATTGGAAGGACAGGACGGGGAGAAAAACACTGTGTTCCTTCGGAAGTTCTGACTCAGAACTAAAACGGAAACTTGCGCGTGCATACGAAGAACCCACCATGCCTAACAACTGTGGACCTCCATCGACGTCTATGAATTGTTTAATCCGAGCTTTGGCTTGGAAGAACTACCCTGACAAGATAACGCTCAGCTGCACAGGTGGTAGGAGTGTGTGCTGAGTTTGAAATGCACCCCTTCGCAGCATTCCAGGGGCGGCAACAGTGTTGTCGCTTGTGTATGTAGGAACAACTTTTCGAGTGTACAAAAGCATATTTGCGACAGATTGCTTGGATGGTGGAATCCCTGCAATATTGCGTTACCGGATACACAACGACACGATGGGACGCACGAGACGACAGGCGAACATTTTGCGCATGCTTGCGATCGTTATATCTTCTTCAGGAGCACCTGTGGAATGCCGAGCAGCCTGGCGAATCAGCAGATGGACAAATGTCAATGGTTACTGTGGTTATCGCCATCTGACATGTAGATATCGCCATGCTTCACAAGGGGAATGGTTACTGCATCTTACCACAAGCTGCACCCTGTAGGCAACAATTCCTCAGACATTTCACAGCTGCAGGAAATGGCGGTGGCACTCCCAGGGAGCTAGGAAAAATTGCCCATCTCAGACCAGCCAAACCAAGAAACTGCAGATCTCAGAACCGTGCTTGGGGCCCTTTTGACCTGTGGCCGATGAACCTGATTGTTGATGTATGCAAGTGGCTGCGGCTAGAGCCTGGCGCTATTTCCGTTCACAGCATGTAAGTGCCGCATGTGCGGTCCAACCCCCTCGCCGTGGCACGTGCTTGTCACGGAGGACCGTCGCCGGGTCACAGAGTACAGCTGAAGAGCTTAACGTAACAGCAAGGCAATTGCAGACAAATCGACGTTGGATAGGTCGCACAGGTCGCCGTGCGTGGCTTGAACTCCCCTTGACGATTCTTTTCAAAGAATCTTGAGAGATGCTTCCTCAGCAGCAGCCTTGGATATCCATCCCCCATGCCCGTTTGCCCCGAAGGGGCCATCCCCAAACGCGTTGGTGCACTTGGATCCGCTCTCGTGGTGCGCCGCGTGCGTGGGCGGGCCATTTTGGCTGGTGGCCAGGCGGCTCCCAATCTAGGGGGTGCGTCATCCCGTACAACGATCGCCCCCTCCCGACCGCCACAGTAGTCCATCCACCACCTTGGCTCCAGTGTCCGCGGGCATATTCCGCCGGAAATCCCATATTCCCCTCTCCAGGAGGTCACAAAAGGTTGGTGCGCAGGTGTGGACTGCAGTCCAACAGGCCACGCGCCCCGCCCACGCCTGCCGGCCCTGACCCGTTGGCGACACGCCCCCTGCAGCCATGGCACGCTGCGGGGCCGCTACCCTGCTCCTGCTGTGCGCCCTGGCGCTGGTGGCTGATGCCGGCGCGAAGATGGTGTGGGATGATTTGATGTACGCCAACACCAACAATGAGAAGCACCAGGTGCTCTACTCCGCCCACGTGGTCATCGATGATGAGGAGATCCCCACCAAGTGAGTGCGCGCGCGGGCCGATCCATTGCGCTCACGGTTAGTCAGGCGAAGTCAGGCACTCTTGCTTACGCCCGTACATCTCTGGGGCTGAATTGGCGGCGCAGCTGCCCGGCAACCTGCCCTTTTTGCGATCGCAACGTCTCCGGTCGCCAGCATCAACGAAACTGGAGCGCAATCAGACAACATTGCGTTGCGCATTGGCCACTTGTCCTCCCCGCGTCCCGCTCCGCGAGTCAGAGATCGCCGCAACGTGTCCCGGCGCTTCGTGGGCGCCCTCCACTGGCGTGAGCGCTCACTCCCTGCCCCGTTAGCTCCTCCCACGGTGCGCTTCTGTGTGCAACTGTCCGTGTGGCCGAACTTCACACGGTGCACCCACGCATGGGTGGTTGGGCGCCCGATTCCCTGATACCCACGAGTCAGCCCCCATCCAGTCAGCTTTAGTCAGCATCCATTACTCAGTACTGGCCGCGCGCTCCGCCCTCGCTCCGAGCTTGGTTAACACTCGCCGACTGGCATGCCGACTCCGCGGCAGTCAGCGCATGGAGGGCCACCCTGAACTCTGAACACAAGGGCTCCTCCACCAACGCGCCGCCTGCGCCGTTGTCCACAAACGCCGATTCGCGCCGCGCCCCGCGCTTCGCGACCAATGCGCAGCCCCCGCAGCGCCGTCCTTGTCGACCCTCTTCCGCGCCGCTCCGGCCTGGCGTCCGCGGAGCAACTCGGCCTGCCGCAAGACAGCGTTTTGTCAGCGCGCCGTTGTCGGATAGGTGGGTTGGGGAGATGCCGGTCGCCATCCGTGAATATCCAGACTTGTGAGCTCTCTCAACCGGTTGCTCTGAGCCCTCGCGGCCTCACACGCCGTCCCCACCCACTTGTCATAGGTTTGAGCTTCTCCTTCGCTCCGGGGACGAGGACCCATCCGGCAGCGGCGAGGTCTGGGGCCAGCAATACGATAGGGAGGGCAACAAGATCTTCGAGGTGATCACAATTACTGCGACCCACCTTGCAGCCCGCTAGATTTGCCTCGATCGGCAGTGTCACCATTCTTGAGGCGCCCTCGCGGAGCCCCAAGGCACCCAAAAGGGTGTGGATGTCGCCGCGTTGCTAGGATTGGCAACTGTATTTCTCTGTCGTTGGAAATGTAGCGGGAATCATTCACTGAGTGCAGTTGCGCCACCGGGGAAGTAAGCACAATTGTTCTGCCTTGTGAAGTGGTATCGCTTGGCGAGCGCATACGCTGTCATCACAGTCTCGTCCGTTCTGTCTGATCATTGGTGTTCGGCGCTGAATGTGCAGATCAACAACGTGACCTTCGACAGGACTGACGTGCTTGAGATCAGCAACGATCAGGATTTCACGAGCATCCTGCAAGTCGGCTCCAAGCTGTTCACCGTTGCACACTTCGAGAGCAAGCAGCCGGCGGCCACGTACCTGGCCGAGCTCTCTCAGGATGCCGCTGGAGAGCTGTCCGTTATCAAGTAGGTTGCTGGAGGAAGTGACAATGCGTGGCATTACGCGCATACGGCTCGCTTCTGATTGGAAGGCCTGCCTGCTGTTGTGAACGCGCAAGGCCACCGCCAGCATCGTGTGCCATTGGAAATGAGCGTCCAAGACTTGCTGCAGTACCAATACATCTGCCTGACACTCACTGTCGGCCTTTACTTTTTCAAACGTGCAGGTTCGAGAACATGGACTGGACCGAGTTCGAGGGAATCTGGGTGCCTTGCGCTGGCTCGGTCACACCCTGGCAGACGCACCTTGGATCTGAAGAATTTGGCCCGAACGCCAGATATATCTCCTTCGAGACCCAGGAGGTCTGTGGGACACGTTATGTGACTGTCAGTGGAAGCCAATGACTTGTTGGTTGTCAGCTATCACTTCAGCTGAAGTTGCGTACACCAAGGTCGTTATGTACATGTCATGATGCGTCCCTTGCTGTGCAGGAATGGGACGCTCTGAAGCAGACGAGCATTGGCGGCATTGCCAACACCACCGAGGAGTTCATGAGGTGGTATGGCAAGTATCCTGCCGAGGTCGACTTCGCCTTCATCAAGGAGAACTTCAACCCGTACTACTATGGCTACCCATGGGAGGTATGTGCCCCTCCCCTCCCTTTTCTCTTCCCTCTCCACATGGCGAATGGCATGCAAGCTGAGAAAAGTACGAGTCGCATGACCTATCGTACTGCCGAACCTGGGGTACGGCGGAATCCATTGTGCTAAGTTGTAACTACATCTTCAATGAGAAGAAAATTTCGAATTGCAAGAGAGCCATTCCACGTTTTGGTTGATGCCAATTATTGATGCACGTGTACCTGTGCATGA